CCCCCAAAACCCCAAAACCCCAAAACCCCTGGCTTCTGATAAAATTCATTAAGAAATTATAATCTTACTATAAATACAGCTAAAATGGAACCAGGCCTTGACTACTACATCAAGGATTTAGATAATAATATTTCGACATTTATTGAGTCCCCAAGAGTCTCTTTCGATTCTAAAATCAAGCAAAGAGGTAAGATCATGCATTCCATGTTTAGCATCTACTTCTGCTTCGAAGCAAAGAGTAAGGGACAAGGATTTAATTAGCAAAAATAAAAATGAGAAGAGGCTTAAGTATTCCAAAATGAAACAAATCGAACTTAGTAAGTATATATTTTGAGGCGCTCATGCCCAGAAATATCATAGCTAAGACATTATATTTATAGAATAAAAGAACCAGAATCATCCTCAAAAGTATGGAGAAAATTAATAAAAATTTTATCAAGATTGACCGCCTTGGAGGTGGATTTGGTACCTCCCAAGGGCTTAAGTGTCGCCCAAGAAAAGACCAAATTAAAGAAAAACTGACTGTAGCTTGCAAAAAGTTTAATCTTCCCAAGAAAATTGATGCTAATGATGTTCATTACTGTCAGAACTCAAGAATGCTGTCTTTAAATTGCCAACTGAAAAATCCGAAAAACCCACAAAAATCAAAATCTCCTAAAATGAACAAAAGTAGTCGATACAGAAAGAAGAAGGGGTCTAAAGATGAGAACATCCTGGCAACTTATTTCACCAATGAATTGGCTGCTTCCCATGAGAATGAAAGTATCAGTGGGCATAGATCCAAATCAAAGGTATTTCCATTTGTTTACTCATACAGAATCGGCCAAATACATCTTTGATCTACAGGAGTGCTTCAAGGATGCACTCTCCAGGAAGAATCAGATCTTCCATCAGTAGGGGATACGAGACTGAAAGGAAGAAAAAGAAGAGAATAAAATCTGCAGTCAAATTTAATGATTCTGAAAGGTATAAATTCTAAGTTAGAAAACATAGCTGTTACTCTGTGAGGGTAGAAAAGACTCCAGATGACCTCAATTCTCAAAATACTGCCTATTATAATGACTTTATGGAATCCAAGACCAAAGCTAATAAGCTCCTAAGATTACAAGCCAGTAGGAGCAGCATGCCAGGGCATGGAATAAAGGTTACAAAGAAGGTAAATCTACTTTTTTTAACTATAGAGATGGGATTCTTCTTGGAAAAAGAAAATAGATATCACAGAGACTAAGCTCTTCACTGATAAATCTATCGTCAATGTCATTTCAGACCCAATCATCTATAACAGTGACTCTTCAGTGTATGATGCTGAGGGGAAATCAATTTTGAAGAGACTTCGCCCCAAAAAGTTAAGAAAAAGAGCTAACAGAATGGGGTAAATTCTTTATCATAAAGCATAGCAACCATTCCAAAATGAGCTTGAAGCGGGGAAAATACTGAGCTAATGAGATCATGATCAACCTGAATATCTAGGTATGCCAATGCTCTCAACTTTTCCAACGGAGATATTAGGAGTCATGATAATTTTAGATTCAAATATTTGCCCTAAAGAGGGGTTTTGGGGTTTTGGGGTTTTGGGG